TTTAAGTAGTGTTCTATTCAGCTTATCTCAATTCTGTATTAGATACATGATTCAATCAGAACTTTTGTTCTTATTAAAACAAATTCAATGTACTTGTTATAATGGTGTGGTTTTCCATGTTTACACGTATGAGGACGTTAATTTACCTTAGACATAATATCTACACCAGATTCCTTCCCCGTGTCTATTATTCTACAGAACTTCAACACAACTCGGATCAAGAACATGTGATTAGCGTGATTAAAACGTAAATATTTCCACCCAAAAACTCGACATAATCCAACAACAAGGAACAATGAATAATAATAAATAATGATAATGATAGGGGAATATATAACTCAGCTGACACTTGTCAGACTTTCTACATGACTTACTAAGCAAACAATCAATCATTATCATTCTCGCCCACACATCAGTACTTTAAATAATATTCATTCTTGATGAGTTCAAATAACAAGTTCAAAACCTTACTTTACTAACTTCTAATTTTGTTTTGTCCGTCAATTTGAATACTACTACTGATTCGTCTTACTCGGAACGAACGAAGAATCGAGGATTCAGAGACTCGATAGGCTATACTGATCCGTTGTCCCCGACTCAGCTAACTCCATCCAGAAGTCTTGGTAAGATGTAGAAAGTGTATTGTACAGACAAACAGAAGATAACAGGTGCATCAAGCACACAAATCAAGCGTATTTATACAAAATATATATAATCGATATTGCCATGGAAGTTTTTAAACATTAACTCGACACCCAATTTCTGTCAAACTATTCGTTCTAATATTGACGAATATCCGTATAAATTTGATCGATAAGTTCGTCAATCGACTATCTGCGTGGGTGGTAAGAAATGCACAAGCATGCATCTGCATACAAGCTGCACAAAGATAAAATTACAAAATATGAGTTTTGGGGATCTAACGTCGCCGACAAATTTCGAATACCAAACTATCATAATTTTACGTTTGTATTGTGATGTGTGCAGCTGTTATCGAGAGATATAAGTAGTATATATCATCGGTTTTCACATATGCTACTTTACATGATCTCTTAGTATCTAAATTACATTCAGATTAGATCGGAATCATTAGAGTCTATATAATATATTTTTTTTAAAATAATAATTTTTGGCGAGACTCTAATTTATGGACGAGCCAATCAGGAGCGCTTGAGGGTTTTCAATGTCACAGCGCCAATTCCAGTACGTGATGCTCACATACAATCGGTTTACAGCGGATTTTATAGAAGACGTGATAATTGAGCGGATACAACAAATAGGATTACAAAGAAGTTTCTTTATTTGTGTCTGAGGTAATCAAATGAATTCTGTACTGTGTACAGACTACCATAATGAAGTTGCTTTTCGATGTTGTTTATGTTGGAACAAGAAATGTGAAAGAATAGGAACTTTCGCCGCTCGATCCCGATTGAAACTGGAGGAAATCATGAAAATTGTCGTGAATTGGATAATAAAAGTGCCAGTAACACTAGCTGCAACATTTGTAGATGTTACTGAAGCTTCGGATGTTCAGTGGTATGAGTATTGTAGAGGTATATATGCAACAAAATAGGACAAGCTTACGCGAGTCTTTTGGAGGGAGTTGAGAGAATCGTTGAAATAGACGAAACAATAGTCAGGAAGCGAAAATGTAACAGAAGACGTAGTATTAAAATAGACTGGGTAAGTAGCACTTCAATACATATTCCTCAGAGGTTTTTGGAATTTAAGACAGGTCATCTCAATAGGGACACTTCCAGCGGGTCAGAAACCGATAGGCAATGACAATAATACCAATTACACGGGAATATGTACAGCCAAGCACAACAATATATACAGAGGATTGGAGAGCGTACAGGCGCCTATATAGAATTGGTTATGTGCATCGTGTCGTTGTCCACAAGCGGCATTTTGTGGATCCAACAACCGGAGTGCACACAAACAATAATGAAGTTATGTGATCGAGGCTGAAAGAGTTTTTACGATACTATTATGGCTCGAGAAGCCAACTATTATGGAGCCATATGGATAAGTTCCTCTACTGTATGCATTACGATTTCAGAACTTCTGAACCTCTTTCTAACCTTGAAAAGTTTATAAATCATATAAAAGAAGTGTATCCACTTTAATTCTTTGGCTTTCTTTAGTGCATAATTTTACTCTATATTAACTGTTTTTTGATTGGCTAGTAGTCTCGATACTATAATTTGCAGACGAACCAATCAGAAACGTCTGATGGATTTCAATGTCACGGCGCCAAATTCACCAGCTGATGCTTAAATTCTTTTTAATCAATTGAAATATCAGAATTTTACATTGAAGCCAAAGAAATTTTTTTATAAAAAAATATTACACAAGGGTTCAATATACAACTTTATATTGAACAATGATCATTGAAGTCAGATGAACAGAATAGAAAGATCAAAATAGAGTTTTAAGATTAATAATAAAAGAAGATCAATTCATGAAAAGGAGCATATTTTAAATCATTTCATCCTTATTATCATCATTATTATTATTCTTCAGATCGTCCACTAATTTCAGATAGATTATCATTGATATCAACTCCATATGCTTGTAATTCTTCTTTATTTGGTTTAATATATTTACCATTATAGAATGATTGAATTTTAACTTGTTTTAATGTTTTATTTAAACAATCCATAATATTTGTATGTGGCATATGAGTTTTTAAACCTAAATTATCATATGTTAATATAATTGATTTTTGATTAGATTGTTGCTGTCGTTGCTGTGGTTGCTGTTGTTGCTGTGGTTGCTGTCGTTGTTGTTGTTGTTGTTCAATGAATAATTTTAATGGTTCTATACAACGTTGAATATATTCATGTGTACCACGTGGATCATGTAATTCATATGAATGTGGGGATTCCCAAAATCTCAATTGATTTTCTGTGATATTGATTTTATTTAATTTAATTTCATCTAATCACCATGTTATTGTATCTGGGGTAAACATTTCATTAAATGTTCGTTGAATTTTTTCTTTACGAATTAATTTCACTTTTTTCGCTGTATTTGGATCAATGAAAACTTTAATTGCTTTCCATATACCATGAAAAAATGTACCATGATTAATTAATATAAATTTATATAAAGTTTCTGGATAACAATCAGCAAATGTTTGTACAAACTTCTTACCGATTTTCGGATTACAACAAGCAACAGTTAAACCTAATTGTGAATAAATGAGAAAAGACAAACAGACGAGAAATGAAACAATATTTTGTCAATATAATCAAAGAGGGATTGGGGGTAGTCTTGTGGAGATGATAGTTAGTTGAATAGTTGAATTCATGAGTGAATTGAAGTTAGATCGTTATGGAAATACTGGAAGTAGTGGACGGCTGTTTGGTTCTCGTATGAGATACCACAATGGCAGTGTGCATCTTGCATGTGGGACTAGAATTCAAGGTCTTTGTTCTTGCACGCAAACCGTTAACCTTAAAACCATTGTGTGACGACGGACCACGGGTGAACTTGAGGAAGCTGTAGGAGACTCAGAGAAAGCCGAAGATATACCATCCAATTATCTTTTGGAAGAATACTCTAGAATTCCTACGTGTAGCTTCCGATTTGGAAATGCCAATGACCCCCTGTATGCGGACTGGTGGACTGTAATGATGATTTTGTTCTTACTAAAACTATAAATACCTGACAATTTTGTACCATAATTGACACTGTCTGGAATAATATTCCTTTCATTAGTCTCCTGTCTTCTCATTGCGACTTGGAAGGGTTCTGGCGTTCTAGTGCTCACGTTATACGCGGTATATCATAAACAACCTTCTAGGTATAACACATTACGATGGGTTCAGGTCTGGCGTGTAGGATCATGAATGAGCATTGCTAAGGAGTCTTTTACTAGAACGAAATAGCTGTAGAGTGCTTCTAAGTTTTCAATAATGGTCTACCTGTGATCGACTTATGAATTCAACTATTATTATTATTAGCATCTCTACAAAATCTCCATTATGATTTTATTGATTCGCAAAATCACAAAATCATCTTCTGTCCGATACTAAGGCGAAACGGAGATGACAACAAACAAAGCATTATTAACTCTTTGAAAATGTGATAACATTAAGGAGAATACCCTAATTTATAAACTGATTCTACACAAACTTGATAATTAGCTAATGAATATCACATCAAACTGATAAAAATTATATTGGAAGGGGATTTCGATGAGATTTTAGTAATTTTTAATAGTTGAATTCATTAGCTAAATGAAGCTAGACCATCATGGAAAATCTGGAAGCACTGGACGGCTGTTTCGTTCTAGTATGGCATACCTCAGTGGCAGTGCACATCCAAGAGGTATTTCTTGGAGTTCTAGTGAGAAGCCATGACCAGTAGAATTCAACCGAGTTTGTTGTGAGATAGTAACTCAATGATGACAATAATGGACGGTGGCGAAATTCGTGGATTGATTGAAGTCAGAAACTAACACTGTTTGATGTCGACTCGATGATCCAGATGTTAAACGCTCGAAAGAGACCAATAAGTCCTGGGTTCGCATCTCACTGGGCAGGGTTTTGAATGCACACTCCTGAGCAGTCCCATACTAGGATGACATGGCCGTCCAGTGCTTCCAGACTTTCTATAGTGCAATATGTAAAGTTGACTGAAGTTAGAAATGTAAACCACTAGATGACAACTCAATGGTATAAACGTTCAGGATTTTCCATATGACTTAGAGATTCAGGTTTCATCTTAGGTGGGGGTAGGAAAGGTGCACTTCTGAGAAGTCCTGCACTTTGACAAAACAGCTGTCCAATAGCTTTTTAAACTATAAACTCGGATCATATAGATTCGAATTCTGCAGGAGTATCAGTTCCTTCAAGATTGTAGATATACCTTGTTCTTTAGCGCCAACTTGTACAAAATGTAGGTCAAATAAGGACTTCTGTCTACTTTTCGCTGAAAACCCGCCATGGTCATAATATATTACACTGCTGAACTAATCCACCATGTAATAATACATTTTCAGTTTAGATAGGAAATTCAAGAATCATTATCAGATGCAATTTACCTAACAAATAACTTTGTAAAAAATACCACTATTGAATGCTTAGGACATTTAAGTGTAAGAAGGAGAAAAATCTGTTGTGATATCATTAATTCGTGATGATATTGTGTTGAACGAGAACACAAATAGGGACAATAGAATGTGTTTGAATATGAAATTACAGAACATCTTAGTAAAATCCGAGAACTGTACAATAAAGACTTCATTTGCAGAAGGTCAATCAATCGTCTCAGACATCATTGTTCCTTCGTTTATCAACCAATCATTCTCTATTCCCATTCATTTTTCTACTAACCTTCTGCCACCAGGTATTTAACTTTCGATTGATGATATATACTACTTATCTCCCTAGAGATCAGTAGCACACATATGAATACTAAAGAAAACACTTGAAATATTTAAATAAAAATTGCACATATAAAGATTAGTTCTTCTGATGTTTGCTTAAAAGAAATTCTTAAGTGATTCTATACTCTTCAGAGCATCTCATTGGATAGCTTTTTGAGAGCTAATTATATTTGGATGAACAGAAATATAGATAGAGCAGATGTTTTATCGAATGTGAGGAGCATCTTGAAGGATCATAACATTATGACATTTTCGACTGGTTACAACCTTGAAAATTTCTAGAGGTTTTCTGAAATAGATGGATCGCGTCTAACAGAACATAAATAACTCCCCATTTAGGACTCTTCAGCTGAATACACTTACTTCCCTAGCATTGAACACAGTAACTTTCAATTCAAATGTTCGACGCGTTACCTACTAGGTCAATCGTCTAGATAGTCACTAACGCATGCCACCAATAGGATGTTTATTGTGATTCTCATTACATTGAAGTTGTTTTAAAAACATCGTATTATCTTTAAGTAGTACATTATAATATTACCTGTACAATCAATAATAAATTCCAATGTATTCACTGAGGTTTGTATACTTCGTTTTGCATGTTCAATAAGATAAACCATATGGCAAACAACATCGTCTGGATTACTTTTCAATGTTTGACATTGAGCAAAGCATGCATACATCAATGGTCTACCTTCACGATCGAACCCAACTTGTCGCTGATTAAAATGAAAGCGAAGAGTAGAAAAGATAAAAATAAATAAAACGGTCTAAGATATCAAAAGTTTAATGAGATGATAACTTTATTTAGCAGTATAGGGTTTTGGAGAATATTAAGTTTTTGACTGACATCATGAATTGATTGATGTTAAACCATCATTGAAAATCTGGAAGAATTGGTCGGCCGTTACGTCTTATTGTGGGATGCCGGCTCAGTGATCTAGGGGTTAAGCGTTCGCACGCGAGACTGCATGCTCTGGGTTGAAATCCTGCGAGCATGATCGTAGATGTGAACTGCCAAATAGTCCCGCGATAGGTCGGAGCGATCGTTCAATGTTTCCAGGTTTTCAATTGTGGTCTAACACCAATCGATTCATGATCCCAATCAAAAACGTTTATTCAGACCCATTAGAGTGTTGGAACGACCAATTTATTCTGTTTCTTTTATTATTTGCTGATAAGCCAGTCTACAGTGAATTTTTCCAATCTATATTTCCCCATGGATTGCTCAGGACAGAGTTCGATGGAGAATACTGATGAGCGGTCTAAGCTCCTCTACGATGGGTATAGGCATATATAAGTAAGTAAGTAAGTAAGTAAGTAAGTAAGTAAGTAAGTAAGTAAGTAAGTAAGTAAGTAAGTAAGTAAGTAAGTAAGTAAGTAAGTAAGTAAGTAAGTAAGTAAGTAAGTAAGTAAGTAAGTAAGTAAGTAAGTAAGTAAGTAAGTAAGTAAGTAAGTAAGTAAGTAAGTAAGTAAGTAAGTAAGTAAGTAAGTAAGTAAGTAAGTAAGTAAGTAAGTAAGTAAGTAAGTAAGTAAGTAAGTAAGTAAGTAAGTAAGTAAGTAAGTAAGTAAGTAAGTAAGTAAGTAAGTAAGTAAGTAAGTAAGTAAGTAAGTAAGTAAGTAAGTAAGTAAGTAAGTAAGTAAGTAAGTAAGTAAGTAAGTAAGTAAGTAAGTAAGTAAGTAAGTAAGTAAGTAAGTAAGTAAGTAAGTAAGTAAGTAAGTAAGTAAGTAAGTAAGTAAGTAAGTAAGTAAGTAAGTAAGTAAGTAAGTAAGTAAGTAAGTAAGTAAGTAAGTAAGTAAGTAAGTAAGTAAGTAAGTAAGTAAGTAAGTAAGTAAGTAAGTAAGTAAGTAAGTAAGTAAGTAAGTAAGTAAGTAAGTAAGTAAGTAAGTAAGTAAGTAAGTAAGTAAGTAAGTAAGTAAGTAAGTAAGTAAGTAAGTAAGTAAGTAAGTAAGTAAGTAAGTAAGTAAGTAAGTAAGTAAGTAAGTAAGTAAGTAAGTAAGTAAGTAAGTAAGTAAGTAAGTAAGTAAGTAAGTAAGTAAGTAAGTAAGTAAGTAAGTAAGTAAGTAAGTAAGTAAGTAAGTAAGTAAGTAAGTAAGTAAGTAAGTAAGTAAGTAAGTAAGTAAGTAAGTAAGTAAGTAAGTAAGTAAGTAAGTAAGTAAGTAAGTAAGTAAGTAAGTAAGTAAGTAAGTAAGTAAGTAAGTAAGTAAGTAAGTAAGTAAGTAAGTAAGTAATATTTCCTCATCGACCTATGTTGTTTCGTTTCCAGTTCAGTAATTCTGTTATATGTAGAGTTTATATTTATTACTGTATGTAGATTTGGTTTTGTTTAAGTTTTCGACTCCTCAGTTTCTTCGATTACTAGATGTCCAGTCCATAGAGTTAGCCTACATCATGTTTCGTGTTAAAATAATATTCGAATGGTTTTTAATTTGGAATAAGCATAGGCTATCTCTAAATGGAATATAAAAATACTCTGTTTGGTGTTATTTGTCAACAACAACAACAACAACAACAACAGTAAACTTAATCAACTAATTTGATTATTGTATTACTAGAAAGTAGGCAGTAGTAATGTCCTATTTGTAACTTATTCCAGTCAGATGTACTTGCTTGCTTCTAATGTTAATGTTCACATTGAGGTTTTAACTCAATACATATCACTTCAATAGAATAAGAATAAGGAGTAAGTCACTCAGCTAACGAATTCAGAAATCAATCAACTCGTTGACATATTGAGCAGAATCATCAACGTAAATTTAAATAAAGATCTTATCTGCTTTATATGAACACTGGTCATGGTGTTCATCATAATAATAATAATCCAGCACAATCAGACTTCCGAGAATGTTGTAAAGTACATAAACAAACAACAATAATAACTCACAACTGAATGAAATCCTGGTGTTTCATGACACCATTTACATTGAATTGTCAATGGTTGATATTCTCGACGCCATTCTACAGCTGTTTTCAATTGTTTAAAAGCATCTTCAACAACATAATTTCTTGCCACAAGAAATCGAGTTAATCTAATAATTAGTTGAGGAGAAAGAGAGTAAAAATAAATATCAGGTGTATAAAGTAGATTGTAGTTTTCTTGATTGAAACAATTCAATGGTTCTCATTAAGTAATTGAATTGAGTAGAAAATGTTAGTCCGACAAGAAATTGATTATAACCTGTAATATGTAGATGTTTATATTCTTGATATACCACGTATAACTTGAGCACTTGAACGCTAGAACCCTTTCAAGTCGCAATGAGAAGACAGAAGACTAGTGAAAGGAATGTTATTCCAGACAGTGTTAAATTATAGTACGAAACTGTCCAATCGGGAAGCCACACGTAGAGATACTAGAATATCCTTCCAAAAGATGATTGGATGGAATATCTTCGGCTCTTTCTCAGCTTCTTAAAGCTTTCTCGAGTTCACTCGTCGACCGTCCTCACATAACCCAAAGAGATTAGTGATGGTGTATGTGAGTGTAATGTTAGAAGTTAAACGTCAAAATCTCTAGAGGAAGAATCCTCTAATCATGATACAACCCATGTTCAGATAATTTAACAGTAACAGTATTGAGATTTAATATTAGAAAATAATATAAATGTTCTAAATGATTATACAGTTGATCAGGAAAAACGAAGAAAATGCTATGGAGTGCGATTATGTACATTGTTTGGGAATCCTTGTATATCCATCATGCTTGAAATGAAATACTTTGGATTGAATGAATAAGTACGGAAACCAATAGGATGTATAACTGAATAATAACGCATTTTAGTTATTGCTTAATTGTGCCTGTCACCCCTCGTGCAAAAGCATAGCCCACCCACCAGTATTCTCCATCTAGCTCTGTCCCACTCAATCCTTTCCAGCTCCTTCCAGTCAATGTTCATCCTTTTCATATCTACTTCTATTTCCCTATGTAATGTGTTCTTTGGCCTTCCTCTTTTCCGCTTCCCTTCAGGATTCCAAGTTAGGACTTGCCTCGTGATGCAGTTTGATGATTTGCGTATTGTACGTCCTATCCATTTCCATCGTCTTCTCCTGATTTCTTCTTTAGATGGAAGCTGATTTGTTCTCTCCCATATAAAGCAGTTGCTGATGGTATCCGGCCAATGGATGTTGAGTGTCTTGCGTAGACAACCATTTATGAATACTTGTACTTTCTTGATGGTGGTTGTTGTAGTTCTCCACGTTTCAGCTCCATACAGTAGAACTGTCTTGACGTTCGTACTGAAGATTGTGACTTTGATACTGATTAACATTTGGTTTAAGTTCCATAGGTTCTTCAATTATAGGAATTTGCCAATCCTCTCTTTTACTTCTGATTCAGATCATCCACTCTCATCGATGATGCTTCTCAGGTACGTGAAAGGTTCCACATCTTCCAGATCTTCTCCATCAAGTGAGATTGAGTTGATGTTCTCCGTTTGTATTTGAGGATGTCACTTTTTTCTTTGTGTATGTTGAAGTTTACTGCTGCTACACTGGCTGTCTTCATCTGCATTTGTTCGTGTGCATGAGATAGAAAAGCTAAGTCATCTAAGGAGTCCAAATATTCTGGTTGATTCCGAGCTATTCACCGGATTCCGTGCTTCCCCTCAGGTGTGGAGGAATTCATAATTCAGTCAACCACCATAATAAAGAGAAAGGGTGAGAGTAAGCAACCTTGTTTGATTCCTGTTCTCACTTGGAATCCACCCATTAGTTGTCCTCTCATATTAATTATTAGGTATAGTAAATTGAATTGGATTATTATTAATATAGGATGTTTCAAGGGATTATTTTATTTGTAGTTGATATCAGTAAATACTTGACTGTTCCCATTGATGTTTAGGACTGCAATTGATCCGTCACCTATTGGCATATGTGCATACTGCATGTATTGACTCGATATCACCTCAATTTACAAGCATTCTAAACAAAGATGAATAGTGGCTACCATTGGAATCTATCAATGAGAAGATTCAAGTCAACAATACCAAGTGAATATAAATGAACAACAAACACTTACGTATCATCACATGTTGCAAAATCCGGTTCATTCGGTAAAGGAATAATATTCGATTGAGCCAATTGATAAAGTTCTGTTTTAAGATTCATTATTTGTTCTGGTATCAATTCAGATTTAGACGATTTTCGTAAAGATGATGTTTTGCACCCACGACCCCGCCTTACGGCATTTGAACCCAGGACCTACCAGTCTCGCGCGCGTGCGCTTAACCACTAGACCACTGAGTTGGCCGGCATCCAACGGTGTTAATGTCTAACTTCAACCAATCCACGTAGTTGCGCCACCGTACATCATTATCTTCAGTGAGCTGATATCTCACAACAGACCTGGTTGGACTCCACTTCTCACTAGAATTCCAGGAGTATCTATCGAAGTCAGTCACTAGTGAGTAGTTGATTATTATCAGAATGGGTTTTGTGAAGATTTTTAGAAATTCCACAGGTTGAAATCATTTGTTGATATATATATATATATATATCTCCATATTTATACTTTGCAGAAATAAGAAGTGATTTTATTGACGCATTAAGTAAATCATAAATGAGTTAGATAGTTATTCGAATTGATAAAGAATTCACATCACTGAAGATGAATGAAATATAGTGACAGTTGAAAAAGGATTTGTCAAGTATATATATATACATATATATTCGAATTATTGCTATTTGGATGTGGTTTGAAGAGATATTCATTACAGTATTTCATAAATGATATAGAAAATTCCCTATTCTATCAGAACTTAATATACATTGTTAAGATTCTTATTTCTTCTCTTGGAAGATGTCTTCGTTTGATTGATGAAATTTATTTCAAAAAAGAAAATGGTAGGGATAAATGATTAGCCTGATTACATTTGAAAGTATTAAAATATTTAAACTCTAAGGTGATTGTATAATAAACTTAGGAGGATTAAATAAATGAAACACTTGACTTTTCCTATATTGAAAACACTCAAATAAGCTATAGAACGTAATCAAATTATTTAAATAGAGCAAGTACAAAGATTGGTGCAGAATAATACATGAATTCATTTGATTTCGTCAAGTTCTCATCAGCTGCTTACAACCTAAATTATTTGAAATTCAACATTATTACAGATATTGACATATTGACATACATAAGAGTGTGATGAAGGATCAACACATGTGTATGATGATGTAGCCAGCAAAGATTCAGATAGAGTTAATGAGCTCATAAAATGTTTGATTCGAATAAATAAATAAATAAAGTTAGAGAGGGAAAGTTCCAGAACATTGGAAATAGTGATTAGAACTCATGAAAATAGATTAATGGTAATAAAGAAAATATGAATTGAAATCAATCAGTTATGTATGATGTAATTTATATTTTAGAAAGAGTTGCAATAATGACGTAATAAATAAATAAATAAATAGGAGCAAATGAATAGAAAGAGTGGGGGTTATTGTTACCAGGGTAAAGAAAGATTTATTACTGTCTCTTTTTGTATTCATAGATCTGGTTTTAAACACTTGATTGCTAACGCTTCAGCGAATTTCATAAGGTTCGAGTTTGATTGTTTGTTAATCACCTTGAAGGACTTCAGTATATCAACTTCATGCCCTGTATCAAGGAGATGTCTTGCGATAGCACTGGTGAATGCGTTCAATCCATTTAACCTTAAACTTTTCGGAATATGTTCTTTGAATCGAACGTAGGCTCTCCTTTCTACCTTTCTACCGATGTAACTGCTTTGGCAGGTACATGTAAATTTGTATACACAGTTGGTGGTAACATGAAAGGGATACCTGTCGACCTTTGATTGTGCCAAAGAACATGTTGTTTTGGACAGGACAATCAATTTCGCTGCAGGATAAGTTCTTGTCAGTGCAGTTTTTAGTCTCATATTGATTGATCCTGTGACATCGTCACCTTTGAATTGAAGTTGAATAAAAATAGGCTTTTTATTTGCTGTAATTTCTTTCGGTTTTTTATCTTCACATTTGCCGTATTTCTCAATAAATTTCAGTGGGTATCCGTTATTCTTTAAACATTTTTTAACATTCATAACTTCCTCTTCTAGTGTATCGGAAGTACATATTCTTTCTGTTCTGTGAAAGTGTTTTGACCAGTGCCTTTTTGTAACTGATTGGACAAAAGCTATTGAAATTAAGACAACTACCATTCCATGTGTCTTTCTTATAAACTGAACGTTGAACTGTACCATCTTTTCTTCTTTTCATCGCGATATCGAGAAAATGGAACTTGTTTTCTTTTTCATGTTCCATAGTGAAATGGATATTCGGATGTGCTTCGTTGAAAAACTCTAGCAGATTTATTGCATGTTGTTTATTATTACATACGATGAAGGTATCATCAACATACCTCGAATAATACGTCATTTCATCAATCGCTCATTTTAGTTTGGTTCTTTCGAGGTTAGTCATGAAAATATCTGCTAGGACAGGACCTAACGGACTTCCCATCGCTACACCATCGGTTTGTTTGTATAAGATATCGAATGAATAAAGGAATGTTTTCTAGTAAACCATTACTAAACCTAAACAGATATCAAATTTCAATCAGTTTTAGTACAATTAGTTAAAATTAAACGGTCACAAATGGATATGCTTCGGCGATACATCACTCAACCTAGACCTTACCATAAATGGAGAAATGTTATCTAGGTTACATACAGTAGTAGACTTAGAACTTCAATACTCTCAAGACTTGTCGTTTACAGAACGGATATTAAAACAGACCTCTAAGTCTCAACGTCTAATAGGTTAAATAACTCGAAAACTTTATAACAATGAGTCACGTATTTTAATGTACAAAGTTTGTGCTCGACCTCTTCTAGAATATTGCACGTGCATAAAAGATAAATTAAGGCTGGAATCAGTACAGAGACGATTTACACTTCGTATTCTTGGAGCTGATTGTACCTTAACTTATAATTCTAGATGTAATAAACTTGGGCTAGACCATTTATGGTGGAGGAGACTCAAACTAAATCTTATCTTTTTCTTCAAACTACTTAATAAACTATCCTTTACATCCAATCACGTTACTCAATATGCAGAAACTTCTCATTATGACATCCGTAATTCCTTGGCACTAGTGAAACAAACTTATTCTAAATCATCTCTCTATATGAATTACTTTACCTGTAAATTTTCTAGACTCTGGAATAACCTACCACAATCCATCCGTACGATAAAATCACTCCCATTATTTGTTCACTGCATCGATGCATACTGCTCCTCTGAAAATGCTTTGAATGTTCTAGCACCTGTAAGTGTGTTTAGCCATTTTTATGAGTGCATTCCCTAAGTAAAACCACCTACTTGCTGTCACTTTATGTTAACACCGTCCCCAGCAAGTTTAGCTAATTTGAATAGCATCAACAGTATATTACTGAGTCACATAACACATGCATTTTGGTAGACCTGATTGACTTATTTTGTTAATTATTGCTTTGTTGTTCCGTGCTCTCTGTTTTCATCTTACTTTCTCTAGTTGTAGATAATTATGATTAATTCGATTTGGCACAGGAAATGACCTCAGCTAATTACACCGTCCATAAATCAACAGGCTGTTCATTTAAGAAAAAATTAAAAGTTCCCGGCTGATACATTAGATCTCTGTACTACCTAAACAATTACTGAACTAGTAAACTAGTGAACTTTCTTCGATCACATGTTTGTTCTGTACATCTAATGTTCCTCTTTATATCAAATTGATCATGCCTGTAAACTGGCATGAATTCTGTAATTATTATTATTATTCATTGCCTATTTTGTATATTTAAAGATTAAATTGTATTCTTCATAGGTTAGAAACAATGCAAAATAAATCAGTATTACTTTCATGGTAGGCATACTGTAAAGTGTCATATCAAATTATTCTAGTTGTAAATAATTTCTTTCATGTATTTAATCGAAATTACATTGACAATGTTTATACATTGTACATTGAATTTATATTACTGTAAAGTCATTATGATTCATAATTAGATCAATTTATACTCTATAAACTCTATCAGTTTTTTGTATATTTTGTGTTTATACTAATTTCTTCATGAATTAATATGAAAGGTTTAAGTAGATTTATAGCGGATAAGTCTACCTAGATATTAAAGGATAGTTAATAGATAAGTCAGATAGCTAGAAATTTAATTAAAACTCTAGAATTTCATTCTATAGATAAGTTCTTAGGTGGATTGATTGAGGCTAAATAGTAGCACTATTGAATGCCGGCCGGTTCAGTGGTATAGGGGTTAAGCGTTCGCGTGCGACACCGACAGGTCCTGGGTTGGAATCTCGTGACGGGCGGGATCGTGGATGAGCACTGTTGAGAAGTCTCATACTAGGACGAAATGGCCTTCCAGTGTTTCCAGTTTGTTCATAGCGGTCTAGCTTTAATTGACTCATGAATTCAACTATTAAATTAGAATTAACTATTGAAATGCCAACTGAGATTTCTTAATATTAATGTAAATTAAAACTTGTTTAAATTAGTATTTCTGTTTTTGAAGATTCAATCCATTTAAGTAGTATTGCGATAAAAGCAGTAATAATCTTTTGCATGTAAGTATACCAATTGTTAAGGAGTTATTTTTACTATAAAAGACTCACTACATACATAAGTGACTGATATTAGACTCATTAAACCATCTGTGACCACTGAATATTGCTGCGTATCAATTTTTCGTACCCTTAATCCGTCTTACATATTACATATAAATGAGTCGCTTTTTCGTTAGTAAATTAGCACTTGGAAACTCTCTGTTGATGCAGAATATGTTCTAATCTTTTCGAAATTGATTAAGTTTAAATTATAATTTCAGTAATCATTTTATTATCTCCAAGAAGAGGAACCTTTTCAATTCAAGATGGTTATCATTTGACAAGAAATTATTGGATACAAGAGATCATAGATATTCGCTGAATAACTTGATCATATACATAAAACTTACATCTCGTGATTTAAGTCCAGATGTAGGAACTGGTGGTCAGCGATAACTGGACATGATTATTCAATAAATGCGTTTAGATCACAATAGGATATCCTATAGATTTACTCATTTATTGCTTCATCCATCTTTTTTTTCGATTTTCATAAATAGTTT